GGTTTATTTACATAAGATGGCAGAACTATTATTATTGGGTCAGGTGATTATTTCTGAATTATAGCTATGACTAAATTATAATGTGTTTGAATTTCAAGTATATTTCAACTGTACATGATTTTAATATTACACATAAGAGACTTTCAGTCAGTTAATTCACTTATGTGCTAATCTTTTATAAGTGAGCTGTAAAATATTACTTAAATACATAAATCATTATTTTCTTTATTAAACTATTGCCATGTTGAAAGCAGTGGCTTTGTTATATTCATCTGTGTCTACAGGACTAAGCTTATGGTTCATATATTTTTGGTGCCCACATGATAGCTTCAAGTCATAAGAAGCAAAAACATCTATATCAACCAACCAAACACACACATGTCAGAATCTCACTCAGTTATGTCTGGTAATTATTTGGTCAGCTTCAATACACTTCTAAAAACTCATTTATATTGAGTGATAGAAGGTTAAATTTCTTAGGTTTGCTTGTGCTTGTTTGTGACGGTCTTATGAGTTTATATGTGTGTGTGTGTATATATATATATACACACACACACATATACATATATATGTATATATACATACATATGTTAGCATACAAAATACATGCATGTATATACATAAATTTTGAAATATACATAGGTACATAAATTTACATGTATATCAGTCTAATGAATAAACATTTTTGATGAATTCATGACACAATTCAAACAATGAATTTATTTCACTGAAATCATGAGTTTGGCTCAAGAAATAATGTATTTGTCAATTTTCGAGTTTACCTCTGCATGAGTCTTTACCTTTTTAATCTTTTAAATCACAACTTTTAGTTCTCATCTAGGTGTTGTAAATTGGCATTTTATGTCTGTGTCCCCACCCTTTTCCTAGGAAAGATGTGAGTGGATATACGTCCTATGCGGGGAGTTAGGGAATGGATGATGAATCGAGGTGGATAGGGAGAAGGATGGGGCAGGAGGGGGTCTCACGTAAGAATGACCCCCACACACTGTAACACCTGAAGTGAAAGGGAACACCTGCATTTGGTGCTGAGACTGCCAGGAAGGAGAGAGAGACAGGGAGAGGAGGGAGGCAGAGAGAGACAAGAGCTGTATGGCGCCCACAGCTCACACATGCAAGTGCTGGGGGCACAGAGCGTGATGCGCTCACCCCCCTGCACCTCCATGCCTGGCATCCCTCTGTAAGAAACCTTCTGCTGTGAGATCACAGGACGCCCAAGACAGCTTCAATCAACGGAAGAACTCGCAAAGGGTCACTCTTCATTATAACACATCTGGGAGTTGTTTCTACTTTTTTTTTTAATAGTAGTAATTTACTTACAATAGTAGAAATGGAAAAGATTTTAAATGCCACTGACTCCAGTATTGAAAGAGAAAGTCGCTCAGTCGTGTCCGACTCTTTGCGACCCCATGGACTATACAGTCCATGGAATTCTCCAGGCCAGGATACCGGAGTGGGTAGCCTTTTGCTTCTCCANGACTTGCTTACATTAAATTGTCTACAAAAAGCAAAGTTAGATTTGTTCTGTAAAATATTTTCATGAGAGGTTATTACTTCAGAGATTCCAAGAGAGGATACTCTGATATTTAAAATTCTGGCTTCTTATCTTCCCAAGGTTTTCTACTGAGTAGGACCTCCTTTGAATATCACACACGCTTGCTCTTTCTAGACAACTGCCTTTAGGCTTCATGTCTCAATGAGTAAGAAAGCAAACGGACCTTACAAATTGCAAAATAACCTTCACTGACAAACAATTGACTCAAGCAAATGAATACGCCATTAGATGCCCCAGTGCTGGTTGGCTCTCTCACTGTGATCCTTTGTTCAAAGGGCTGTGCCATGGCTGTGAGTCACCCATGAATGCTCTCATCTCTGTCAAGTTCTCCTTTTGATACTAGCCCATGTTCTTCTGATCCTACTGAGTGAATATTCTACCGAGTTTCATAGTTGTGGTCACATATGGGGCTGCTTCAAAGCGTTCCCATGGAGAATACTCTATATTCTTTTATAAAAACATTTTTATGCCCTGAGTTATCTTCCTGACTTCATCAGACACCCGCTGAAGAACCACCTGTCTTCTTGGCATCAGGACATGTTTTGAAGGGCTGGCTTTGCCTTTCGAGGGCAAATCCAGTCTGTTTCTATGAACAACTGTCAACAGGTGTGGCGATGACAAGGAACCGGGCCAGAAAAGGACTGGCAGAAGTGAAGAGCTTCCTGTAGAATCGATGACACTTGCAGTTTTATACATGCCCCCTGTGATGATCTGCTCCTGCCTGGCACCTCGGGTTTACTGGAAAGATCCAACCCGTTCGTAATAGGCAGGCTGCCACTCTGACAGATGGGTCTCAGCACGGCCAGGATGCCCAGTACTCTGGGCATCAAGTGCGTCTGCTAAAGGCTGAGTCCCCGCCAGGATCATCCGAATGGATGTCTGTCTCCCAGCCGGGGCATGATATATATGGCCTGGCGCTCTCACTAACTCCACCGCTGCCAGGCATTAGCTTCCACTTGTTTAGAGGTCCTAGTGTGGGGGCTCAGGGATTGAGATCCCAGACTGGGACTGGCCACGTTGGTCATCCAGCTGCTTTTGCGTCTTGCCCACTCATGGGACTGTGTGTCCTTGAAACGTCAGAGCGGTGATCCTGGACGTGGGTTCTTTTCCTTGGAAACTCAGGCAGGCAGTACTTGCTGCTATAAGGAAAGGAGGATAATATGAAGGTGTATTGTTTCTTCTTTATGTTTGACAGCTGAGTCTAAAAACTGTGATGCATGAAATATGGATAGAGTCAGTGACTCTTAGACCATATGGAATACAATTCATCAACAAATAGCCTCTCACCATGACATTAAATCCATGTAGAGACATCTGCTTTTGTGGGGAGTGAGGTGGGGTGGGCTTAATTATATTGACAAATAGGAGAGTTTGTGCTAGATTTTTCTTTCTAAGAATGTGAATATATGCATATACACATATGCACTTACAGATTCTTTTGATGGTAACTATACACACACACACCACACACACACATATATGTATCTGTATACTCATCTATATATACACACATATATCTGTATACTCATCACTATATATAGTGATGCATATATATAATTCATTCTGATATATATATATACACACACACACATATATAATTCATTCTGCAAACACATGTCTAAGAACTGACTTTGTCCAACCTTATTAGGTATGAAGGACTGAATGTGCCTTCAGGGTATTTACCAAACTGAAGAACAATAGCTCTTGCCTGGTAAGATGAAATGAAGCATAAAAGAACTGTCTTCTTTGGATAAAATGTTCCTCTCATGTTTTGTTTGACTTGGGATCCTGGCGATGTGGCTCTTCCTTACTCTTCTAGTGACCTCAGTAGGAGTATTTGAAACAGCGATGAGTCAGACTTCCAGGATGTCCACAGGCTTCTCCCAGCTCCTGCGTTTCCCATAGTTTGTTGTGAGAGAACTCACTCACATAAAGTAAGAAAGTATATCATGGTCTCGAGCATGAGGGTATCTAACTTGTATTACTTCTTGCCTCTTGGAGTTCATTGTTTTGAATTCATGTCGAAACAGAGGATCTGCTAGAAGAGTCACAAAAGGAAAAAGAAGACAGTTCCATCTACATTTTCCAATTTTTTTTAATGAAATGTTTCCCTTCCCTCCCCCTCCATAAATTCATACTACCATTCTATAGATTTTTAAAACAAATGATGTGATATGAAATCTATATGAAATCACACTTAATTTTGTGATACTGGAGGAGGCTTTGATGTCGTTTAGTAGAAGAAACTATTCAGGAAGTCAAATCAAATAATTATTGATAGGTTTGCAGTCTTCTCTCTGCCTAATTTAGGTACCATCTCACTATCTGTCTCTTCAGGAAATGCTTTTAAGAAAATAAGAGCATCCCACCTAATCTATGAAATAATAATTGCTGAATTTCTACTTTAAAATCTTAATTGGATACAATTAATTAGAGCCCAATTTTAAGATTCCTTTGATAATCACTTTAATTAAGGATTCACAATAATTGGGTTCTATCCAGACTATGATATATCCCACCAGCTGCTGGCTAGGGAAACTCTTCTTGTTAGGAAGCCCCAAAGAATATGGTGGAAAGACCGACATGCCACTTGGCAGCATGTCCACAATTCCGGGGAACACGTGCACTAGCCCTGAGCTCATGGCTTTGTCAGGGGCTCTTCCCAAGATTAATGACAATCAGGAGAAGCAGGAAGCTGGAACTCTGATCTGCAAAAGGCCTGTGGTAGACTTGACACACGGTCTTGGCCAGCAGCAATCACTGCCAAAGCCTGTGGGGCCGTAAACAGATTAAATGAGCTGTAGGGGCGTGTGTGGCGAAGCCTCCCCGTGGGGTTCAGTGGGGTTCAGGGCCTGGCTGCACATAGGCCCCGGGAACAGAGTCCGTCTCTTCCTCATGCTCGTAGACAGCTAGTCCTTGATGACGTTTAGTGAAGAAGTGTGTGTGCAGCGTCTGCCCAGGCGCTGATGTCTGTTCAAGGCATCGGGAAGGCGGTCAAGGGAGGAAACGGCCCCACCAACCTGTAGAAACCTTCCTAGGAAGGGAAGCCCGGGGTCAGCGAAAAGCGGCTGTGGCTGCAATCCAGTGTGACCAGGGCCAAGGGGAAACGCGGGCACCTGCGCGATGAAAGAGGAAGAAAGGGCTGAGGTGCCGGGGAGCGGGCTCACCTCAGGGTGGGGTCAGCCCTGCGCCCGGAGCCCACGCACCCTTCCCGGCCCCTCCCTCTGCTTTTAAAAAAGCAGCGGGTGTCTTAAGTCATGGGGCCTGTAAGCCCTTCACGCTAATTGAAATTCAGTGGTAGTTTTCCTGTTTCTCACAGACCAAAAAAGAAACCCCCCCCCAAAACAAAAAAGCCAAAACAAAATAACATAAAAACAGTGCTAAACTCCTGAGTGCGTCACCTAAGTATAGCGAGTATTTGACCTAAGTATAGCAGATACTTAGAAAGGAAACGAAACCAGGAAGTTCCGGAAAGTAGGAAGCAGGGTGTTGTGGGTGTGGATCCGAGGCGCCGCGTGAAGTCTCTCGACACCGGAAGGAGTCCCCGGACCAAGGCGGAAAGGCTTCTCTCCAGATCCGCTCCTGTTCTCACCTCTGCAGCGAAGACTTCGCTGGTCTGGCCTTGGTCCCACGGTGCCCCATGCGTGCTTGTAAAAGCAGTGAAGAGATAGTTTCCTTTTCTATTCATTTTCAAGTTTTTATTGAAGTAGAGCTGATTTGGGCTTCCCTTGTGGCTCAGCTGGTAAAGAATCCGCCTGCAATGCGGGAGACCTGGGTTCGATCCCTAGGCTGGGAAGATCCCTTGGAGAAGTGAAAGGCTACCCACTCCAGCAATCTGGCCTGGAGAATTCCATGGACTGTATATAGTCCACGGGGTCACAAAGAGTTGAACACGACTGAGTGGCTTTCATTTCACTTCATAGCTGATTTGCAGTGTTGTGTTATTTACTTATGTACAGCAAAGTAATTCAGTTATATACATTCTTTTTTAGTATTCTTTTCCATTATGTTTTATCATATGACATTGAATATAGTTTTTGTGCTATACAGTCGGTCCTTGTTGTCCATCTGGTATTTTTATGTTGAATGGATTCTTCCCGAGTTAGTCTGAAAGCAGACTTCACTGTGCTCAGCGAGAGAGGTTTTCAAATTTTAAGCAATGATTTTGTTCCTTTGAAGTTATGTTAAGTACTCAAAAAGAACAGCTTATGACATTCAAAAGCACTGGAATCCAGACCTTTTCTGTAACTATTGACAGAGTACCGTGGACTCTGTATCCGTGCTGAGAATGTGATTTCAGACAGGAATGCTCCCAGAGAACAGGCACATTGTAGGTGCTCAAGAAAGGTGAAAATCATTCCTTTCTGTGGTTGACTAAATAGCATGTTCTTTCCCTTCTCTTGTTTTATAGTCAAAAAGCGTGTTCCATTTCCCTAGGTACCACTTGTAGAATCAGGGCAAAGCAAATCCTCACATGTCTTTAGGAATTAACTGACTTAAAATACAATACAGCCCTTCAGTCTGTAAAATGTATTTGTATGAGTCTTCTCAACAGTAGTACCACCTCCCTAAAAGTGATGAGTGGTGTGTCTGAGAGCATGTGTGTTTTTATAAATCCAGGGTTGTTTCAATCACCACAGCAGTCCTGCCCAGCCCCAGTTATCATCACATGTCTTCACTGAATGTCCTTCTATGCCCTGCCCGCAACACAGCACTGAAAGTGTTTATAATGAAAGAGCAAAAACCAAGAAACTTAAGATTCCTGTTCTTTCTAACTGGAGTTGGGTGACAGTATGATAACCTAGGAAACTGTATAGGCATCAATTTGGTAATCCCAAGTGCTTTCAAAATAGCTCCAACTGTGATGTCAGATAAGCATGATCCCTCAAAGTTAGTTAATATATTATGTGTATACATGCATATATGTGTTAGATTGTATATTTCTAGCTTTATAGAATGGTTGATTAAGAATTTTCTAAACACCCCAAGTCTATGATCATAGTTATTTTTCAGTGAAAGCCATGTGTCTGCATATGAATAGGGGGCTTCCCAGGTGTGCTATTGGTAAAGAACCCACCTGCCAATGCAGGAAACCTAAGAGACATGGGTGTGATCCCTGGGTTGGGAAGATCCCCTGGAGAAGGGAAAGGCTACCCACTCCAGTATTCTGGCCTGGAGAATTCTTTCCATGGGCAGAGGAGCCTGGCAGGCCATAGTCCAAGGAGTCACAAAGAGGCAGGCTACAGTCCATGGGGTTGCAGACATTCAGGCATGACTGACTGACTAACACATAGAAAATACATATATATGTGTGTATTATTTAACAATATATATATATATATATTATTACTATCATTACATATCATACTATATTATTATAGTATATATATATATACTATATCATGCTCAGTCGTTCAGTCATATCTGTCTCTGCTGTCCCATGGACTGTATGTAGCCAGGCAGGCTCCTCTGTGCATGGAATTTTTCAGGAAAAAATACTGGAGTGGGTTACCATTTCCTCCTCCTGGGGATCTTCCCAACCCAGGGATCAAACATCATCTCCAGTGTCTCTTGCATTTCAGGAGATTCTTTACCACTGAGCCACGGGGGAAGCCCCTATAATATATATAATCATGTATAATTAATATTATATAGCATATGTATTATTACATGTAATATATATTTATTTTATGCATAGTATTTAATAATTAAATGTTGAAATTCAGTATATACATGTATATTTTTTTACTTCATATTCCACAACCTTTCGGTCAATTTGGAATTTGGAAAACACTATGAATAGGATATACACATACACATAAAAGATAGGGTAATGAGAAGAAATTATAGCTCTTATAAGGATTTCATTTTTAACTTCTGAAAAGCTTTCCTAGGTCAGCTGGCCTCAAAGTGTCACTCACTTGAGAAGATAGAAGGCTGGACAGCTTTGGGGGTTTTCCAGTGTAAGGCAGTGACCCCTTTAGTCACGGGTCCCTTGATGGGGGAGCAGCAGGGGTCATCTGTTACAGTCTGGAAACCCTGCCCTTCGGCAGATGACCAAAATTGATTGGATGATGCCTTACTTCTGATGAAATAACACCTGAATCAAAATCACAGATGAGATATCAAACAGAAGGGCTTTTTTTTTTTTCATCTTTTTTTTGCCCCCAGAGATGTATCCGAATAGTACTGCCAGGATTTCATTGCTTATGACATTTAAAAGTGGAGTGTATGGAGCACTAAAAATACACTGTAGGGAACTACCCTGGGCTGGCAGAGAAATGTTCAAGAGCTTCAAAAGGTCCTTGCTATTTTTAATTTCTACTCTCACACTACCTTAGTGTGAGTAATACCTTTGCAGAGTCTACTATGTAGGCTGTTGCTGTGGCAAAGCTCCTTGGCCCCAAGAAACATCAAACAGGCTTCTAGAAAATTGCTGGTATGTTCTTTCCAGGGGCAGAGCAGCTATCTCTGGTCAGGAGAGGTGGTGATTTAAAAATAACCATGGATGTGTAGCTTTATGCCAGACTCACTGTAATATGTTACCGGAACCGTCCAAAATAACTGTTGAAAGTACCCACAACATTTAAATTTGTCCTGGAACTGTAGCTATAAGCCGGACCACGTGGACTAGTGCTACCGGCTTCCAAGGAGAAGACAGTGCTTTTGAACTACCATCCTGTAAGTCCAGTCCCGTGTCTGTGCTCATGTTCTCTGTCCTTCCCCCCATGCCCACAAGGAGGCAATGTGGTGCGTTCACTGGGCTCCAGGCTGCCAGTCAGGACTTGCCCTGCCTCTCCAAATAATCAGCTTGTTTACCTGGACAATGCAGGTTATTAAACCAGCTTTGCCACAGTGTTGTGAAAGAGAAAAAAATAAAACTAATTTAAAAATTAATAGCCTCAATGAAAGGTATCCCTGTTGGCGGATTTCAATGAAGGGGTGGTGATGCTTCTCAACCACTCACGAAGGGGCTCCTGGACTGGATCCTCCCACAGAGAGGATGCAAATTCCTTCTCTCTCTCTCTTTTTTTTTTTGTGTATGTAATAAAGTTTTATTAAAGTAAAAAGGAGATAGAGAAAGTTTCTGACATAGACATCAGAAGGGGGTAGAAATAGGACCCACTTGCTAGTGTTAGCAGTGGAGTTATATACTCTCCAATGAAATTCCTTCTCTTTTTAAGCTCTCCACCCCAGATCACTAACTTCTTCGTGTGAACTGTTCCTTAGCACACCCTTAGTTTCTTTCCTTACTAATATTTAGTCCTGCTTTAAAGATCAAAGTTTCTAATAAAATTAAAAATCTATTCCGTGACTTCAAAATAAATGCTCATGTAACAAGCTTATGTTTGCAGGTATTTTCATTACATCTAGATAGACAGAGAGCTGCTAACCACGTCTTCTGTTTGAGTCTTTAAACTATTTTAAACAAGATTAAAGATGGGTATCTCTAAATTCATATATGCTTTAGCGTAGGATCCTTCTCAAGGGGAAAAATAAATTCCCTGGAGATAAATTTAAAAATCTAGAGCTTCAGGAATGGAGACCACAGATGTCCATTTAAGAGCTAAGTGTTAACATAAAAATGGTCTATTAAAAAAAAAAAAAGGTCTATTTTAACCATAAAGTCATAGCTAAGTGGAAATCAAGACAGCCAGTTTGCACCTCACTCCAGGGAATCAAGACTCATACTCTAAGTGAGGCTGCAGGCTGGGTTAGTCATGGAAACACGATGTTTTTTTAATTAAATCACACATCTTCCTGAGGCACTAGTGCATTAAAATCCAAGAAGATGAGAAATAATAGCCTGATCTCCATCCTTGTCTTTCGTGAAGTCATTACCATCGTCGGCTGATGATGAGGAGGGAGGCGTTTCAAATTACGGCAGCACTTTCACAGGGTAAATTATGGCGAGTTATGAATGACAGAAATTACTGCAGCTACAGTTTTCTTTTTTGGTCTTTGCTGGCTGTTTTGCATCCATTATAGTTTCTTTTTATAGCTCCCTTAGTTATCTGCAGTTAATTAGCATCAATAAATGACTGAGAATGTTATATACTACTTTGATTGCACTTTTATCTTTTTTGTTTCCTTCTTAAGGAAACTGTCACGTCTGTTGTCTTAAGGACCATCATTAACACTGAGCTTATAATGATTCTGGATGTTATTTTTTAATATAGCTTAAATATTGACTCTTTTGTTTCAAATTAACATGCTTTAGACTTTAAATTTTTTAAGATACCCATAAATGTTATCAAAACACTACCTGGATAGCTATAGAATTATATTATCACTTCATTTGCACTAGTTTTCTGTGATGATAACAAAATTATAGATTATAGTATTTCTGTAAGATATTAGGATAGGATTTATAGAAACCTATTTTTGGTAGATGAGTTGGTTGTTGGCTTTTTTGTAAGTGGGAACAGTTATGACATGATTGCTGAAATTTAGATGCCAGCTCATATTTTTCTTACTGAGAGGAATTTTTG